CTGAATAAATTGCTTCGTGCAAACGCATACAGTCACTCAAAAAGTCTTGAAATTCACAATTTGAACAAAAGCTTCAATTTTTGCTTAAAAACATTTTTTGGATTATCGTATGAGGGAGAGGGGTTAACTGATAGAGCCGGATGTTTGCTGACCTCTCCGACTCATACTCGCGACAACAGAGGTATGCCCTGACTTAATGACCTCTCACAATCCTCTCATGGAATCATAGCAATAAGCAGAAAATGTTCGAAATTCACAACTCTGGCAGAGGATTCGATTGGGTTGCTTCTGAGCTTTCCGTGGATATACGAAAACATAAAACACGCCGGAAAGACGATTGAGGTAAACGTGGTGACATTTTGCAGATCAAACTCACGAACACCTGACTACTTAGACCCAATGTGCTCGCTTTATCGTGTGGTCGAAACAAAACTTCGAACTTTGAAATGCACTAATTCGATGCAATATTGGTATTCATTGGCACGGTGCTTATTGAGAACTGTTTATTTATATGCAAATAATGAACGGAAACCAGACAGGGAACAGAGTCCAGCATCGGCTAATGTACAACTCCGAAGGATGGAGTCACAAAATTAACACGAAACCTTAGAAAATCAGTAGCTTGGAAAGTTTCATACTGCACTCACTTAGAGCGTTTCACAAATATGTACTATCGGCGGTTGGATGAAACCGTCGATGCAGGTGACCACCGTCCAATCATACACAGTCAACCACGAGGTCACAGGGCTACGCACTGACAAACTCTCGATCGGAGTCCAAACGTCCTATTCCGGTTTCACAACACCAAATGGCGCCCAAATTTTGTAGGAATGCGACTGCTGGTCGAATCATATTTTATAATATACATTTTAATTACACGTTTCTGGATTTGTTGTTGTAACTGTAGATGGTTGGTTTGTTGACTCATGGTTGAGAACATAAATAAGAACAACGGAAGGTAAAACTTTTACCGCCAGAACATTTCGTAACAACGTCGTTACGGCCTAATGATGCTATTGGTGTCGTAGCGAAGCACTTTTACAAGCCTTCAACTATGAGTCAATAATTAGGTTGCAGTACTAATGTATTACATTTAAAATATTCGTTATGTACGCATCGTAATCTCCTTGCAGTTCTGACCATTTAATGAAAATAGGCCTTAAATATGTCGGGCATATGTCTTGGTTTTAGCTCAGGGTATGGCTTTGCTCAGGCATAATAATTGCTTGGGCTGTATGTCCTGTTTAAACTTAGATGTAATCTTCTACCTAAACTTAGGCATAAGCGTAAGTTGCGCATTAACCTTAAGTTTAGGCTGATATTTAGCGTAAGGAGTTACGCTCAGCTACAGGTATGGCCTTAGGCTCAGACTTAAACCCAGACCCATGCTTGCCCAAATCTAAGCTGGTCCATAGGCATAGGCTCAGTTTCAGGTTTAACCTGAGGTTTAGGCTTATTTTTAGACTTACAGTATATATGGCACTATTGTCAGAAACATAATGCGGTGTTGATCTCAAAGCTGCTGAATGTTAGCAAGTCAGAGCTCCGGAATACTAACTCGGTTCATCACTTTCTTCTTACTCGCGCATGCACCTCCGAGTAGTGGATTAACCATTATGGGTGCAATTGAATCTGTCTAAAATGTTATTTTCCGTTTGTCTCCGTGTCTTCCTGATCAACTGAAGTATCATGTTTCTTGTCTCAATAAAATACAAGCAAAAAATTCTACGTTCATAACTGACGTATATTTCCATGTCCATATTGAATGACTTGGAGACATAATCAGGCGAAGCACGAGGTATGCGGTCAAGTAGCAGAATAATGACTAAATGGCTGTAGTAAATTAATAGACAACGTGGCACTCATGCCGTTCGAATACAGACCTTAAATTACCTCGTAACCAACTGACTAGAATTGAAATAGTCGCCCATAAAGCTTTCAGACAACTCTCACGCAAACGAAGGAAAAACTGGACATCAAAAGTGGATTAGCGAGCAGATGATTTTTCATCAGTGCCCAACGCGATTTTTCGCAACGGTTTACGATTGCATTTGTTACTACTCAACCGACGCATATGACAGACATCCTTTCAACGAGTCCAAAAGACAATAATTTCTTCGATCGCAATGGTCATGTACCAACGATGCAAGAGATGTCAACAGCAGAATAAAAGTACCTCACTATGTTCATTTTGAAAAGGAACAGGAATAATGCCAAATATCACTCCGCATGCATCTGTACTCTGAAGCATTATTGCTTTAAAGGCATAGGCAAACACTGCCTATGATCATTATCACTATCTTGTGAAGATTATCACTATCATTTTCAAGTCCATCGATAGGATTCATGATTGCAGAAAGTACTTCTGTACATCTCCCTTTGGTGTATATCTATTACCTTTGTCGTTACTGACTGTCCACTATGTGGCGGATAATATTATTGATTTATAATACGCTGTTGTTAAAATCATCATTTAAACCAACAAAACTTTAACAAAAACGAACCAAAAGCTGAAATCTGGCTTTTTGTAATATGGTATGCCAGAATTGAACTATACAGCACTGACAATATATGAAAACAATCATTCATGCATGCACATACATACACATAAGGAATGATTTAATAAAATCGACAAATCAGGTCAAACACAAATCCCTTCGCGTAGCAGCGGCAATAGTTAGGCGAAATGACAGCACACGCTTTTTCCTGTCCAGTCATATTATCGTGGGATTGCTCCCTTATTACCGTTTCTAAATTCTCCCTTCTTTGCTTAATAAATTTCCCTGTAACTATCCCAGCAAAATAAGTTTAAGCAAACTTCTCAGTTCGCGTCATGACAGCTATCGCGGTAGAAATCAGAACTCACGTCATACAGGAAAGAGAAACTTATATCATAATGGAAGATGCTAAAAAATTAGCACAGAACCATCAGGTTAAATACGAAATTGAACTATGAAAGAGAAATGCGTGGCCAAGCATATTCTGAATGAAAATGACAACACTAATACCATAACAGGTAGAATCTGAAAACTTGCCTGAAAAAAATGATTTGACAAAGGAAGCAGTAAGAGAATGAATCAAACAGGTTCCTAACTAGAAGATAAACCTGATCCTCTGATATGATGTACGACGTTACAGTTGGTTTAAAACGCAAATCGCCATTACTTCATGTATGATTAGTAATATCGACAAGTTATTTTACTGCTTTCTAACATCCTCGTGAAAAACCTTATTCACAAAATAATCTTGAAAAAATAAGCAAATCGATTATGCCATTTAGCAGTACCGCTGTTAAGTACCCCAGTAGCAGTGAAATCTCCATTAAAATAATGCAAATGAATTATAGAAGAAATTTTTGAAAAGAGATTTTGTCAGTAAAATTGAGTCTAATGCAGTACGACATTACGCATAAACATTTCATTGATCATATTTATAAGCTGAGACCATTCTACAGTAAGCAACTACATTGCCGACGTTGTATTTGCATTTATTGTTATTATCATGTCCCCAGAAGATGGATCCAGGTAGATCCGAAGCGTCAGGATTGTTTAAAAAAACTTTTAGGCGTAATAAACCGTTTGAAGATTTTTACAATAAAGAAAATTCCACCCCGAATGAAGATTTCAAGCATTTCCTATAAACATGGATCGGAATGTTACAAAGAAATACAAATAACAATTATTACACGAATAAGCTTAAACGTATTACTTTAGAGTATGAATTTTATCCTATTTCAATAAAACTTTATCTTGCTATCATCTGCAAAGTGATAGCTTTCCATACCACTGGTAAGAATTACATAATCTTCTGTCAATTCATATGAATTGTGTCGTAGCTCACCGTAGGCTCGATTCTAGTAGCATAAGAACGATTAAAGTAAACCATGGATAGACGATATTTTAGTACAAGATGTACATGGTCGCGAAACAGCACCAATTCTTTGTTCGAACAAAACCATGTGGTCGAATATCAACAGATGTTATCTTAATTTGCATGCATATTGAATAAATTTAAACGCGGTATTATGAGTTTAGCAGTAAGCTACTGGTTTTTGATGTCGATGGTAAAATTGGTAATCTCTTGTCACACCTTCCTTCTGCTTCACACCGCATTATCGCTCTATCACCCAACTTGTAGTGTCATAGGGGACCGTCTAACCAGTTTGCCAGTAAACCAATTAAACCGTAGAAAACGACGGATCGAAGTATATATGTCGATGGTAGAACAAGTTTTTGTACTACACAATAAAGCTGCAATCCCTAAAATACCATAGCTATAACATGACCTAAACGATTCCCTAAGCAACTAAAAGCAATGGTACGGTGCGACTACGCCAAGCGATTGCGGGCGAGTGAAAGAAGAAAAAACTTGTTCCGCTCTGCACAGTAATACGGCATTGCACCCACGCACTCCAGGTGTTAAAATACCATGGAACAGTGGTTTAGTCAAACAATCCTCTTGGCTAATAGAAACATCGGATAGTTCGACAACGCTGTACAAATCCGGAGAAGTGACAGGAGATAATCGAATTTCTGTAGGTATATTTTTAAAGTTAAACACAAAATTATTTTATCACAAACGGTGTTTACGACAAACTTAGCTGAAAGTACTTGCGATAAAATGAAAACGACGCCATGAATTCGAAAAACTTAAATCGTAAGTAAATGTAAGTGAAAGTCAATCTGAATCTTAGTAAGGGAGGCGGTGGAACTTTCAAATTAGGGATCAGAAATGAGTCAAAAGTGTTACTGAATCGAGATCCAGATCAACATCTTGAAAGCTAGTTCTTCCCTGCCTCGCAATTACGACCAACTACCGAAAAGAGTACTGCGTAAATCATTTAAACTTAAGCTGTGTAACAGTAGAAGATATAGGCAGTGGTAGGCACATAAACGAAACCCATAACAGATCAAAAGCAGAAAATTCATAGGCTGAGTAAAGTCATTAGGGGAAGATCTACAAGTTCACAACGGTACTCCTACTTCAGCAAAACCTAATTAGTTAATTGAATCCAGGCACAGCTCAATATCCAGTATGGAGGATGGTAACTAACTCTGCCTTTACCGCTACTGCCTCCTCTGGCTAAAAGGAGAAATTTGGTAAATTATTCATGCTTAACCAATTGAACACTTGATGGTAAAGTCAGTACAAAACACATCACCGAAACATATAATAGATTAGGAAAAAACGGTTAGAAGGGTGAACAACTAACATATTCCGATGCAAAGCTTTCGGAACGAATAGCAGAATTCCGTTTTCAGCAATAACGGACTAATAATTAGTTATTTAAATTTTCGCAGGCTTCTTTCGATCGTTTCTACCTTGGTGTGTTTCGTTTATGTGACCGTACTTATTAAGTTCATCATCAGTTACCGCTTAAGAATCTGTTTATGTATTTTCGAACGGAAAAACTAATTTTCATAACATCAGTTTAAATAACTAGAAGCAAATGTACTGATATTATGACTCGAAAAGAAAAAAATTTTTCCAAGCACCAATCATCGCCGCTGCGATAGTACTTTAATCGAATTGTCAAGGTACTTTCACATGAAATTGTTGCCTTTTGTTTATTTAAAATTTATAAGAAAATCAGAATTTTACCAAAGTTTCGAATTAATTAGGTTTTATTCTACATAAAAAAGGATAGTAAGGACTGTCCCAGTTATGAACAACTCTGGAATACGAACCGAAGAGAATGTTGAAGAAATTCTAATGAGCGATCGAATATTAGAGACGGTGAAAGTAGACAGTACAAAAGTACGGCGAAGGGTGCGATATCACGCTTAGATAGAGATTTTCAGAATATCGGGATTCAGCATCATAGCCATTGTCGCAGTATCGTTATCTGAACTGTTGACTGAACGTCGACGGTCGCTGAATGATCTCAACTGTCGAGCGACCGCTTCAGAAAAAAAAACAAAGGCAGTAAATAATGATGAGTTACACTCAGTACATTATTGTATGAAAGAGCGAGACAACATACATAACGAACATATAAGTGTATGTATATAATTATGTGCGCACCAAGAAGGCATCGAAGGTTTCGAGTGCAAAACTGCAGACGTGACCAAAGAGATGTTCACAACTTATGCCAAACAAACCATACACGAGAACAATTGCTGGTGTCCGACGATCACTGTGACGATCAGTGACCGAACCAGTGGAAGAGAGAGGCGATGACGCATTTAAAAATCCGACTTTTCGGCCGGCTATGGTTTGGGAGGAAGTAGGAACGCGACGAGTGACGCGAACGGCGCGACTAAATGGAGGAATAAGAATCTCACTCAGGAATGCACACAGTGGGATCCATTCCTCCACTTGATCGCGAGCCGCTGGTGAGCATTGGGGCCCTGGCGTTGTCGAGAACAGGTGACTGGTCCAAGGTCAAAAGGCAGCAAACGACTAACAGGTGGACAGTGGTCAACAGCATGAGTTGGAAGTAACAGATCTGGCAGACCGCTGAACTACCCTGCAAAGATCTCACTTCCAACTCAGTCAAATGACGGCAGCAACGAAAGTGAAAACGAATATGACCATGACCCGGACGACAATGACGACGGTTGAAACGACGACGACGACGACGACGACGAGACGACTACAACGACGATGTCGAACATGGGGACTAAATCAACCGTTCGATGCCATGCTACGAAGCGAGCAAAAATTGAGCAAACAACCAGACAGCAAAAGAGAAGACAAGAGCGCGTAGTCAGCTAAGTGAAAAAGTCAACAGCACCACGACGACGACGAAGACGACGACGACGACGATGATGACGTGCAATCCGTTGCCTGTGATATCTGCAAGGCGTTGGATAACCAGTGGTCAGTCAGCCAATGGACGAAGTCGCTGCAGCTCCAGGTTTGGAAAACGCAAGATTACGAAAGGTGGTGGCGAGGCGATCATCGGCTATACCACAGATGGACAGACAGATAAATGGCGCGTACTAAAGGTGTCAGACAAGCACAACGCTGTACACCACGTGGTCGTCGTGGAGCTTGCACTTTCAACCGTTACCTTCAATACATATATCAAAACTGTGAACGAATCGATCTGACCACGGGCGGACAGTGATGGAACTGAATGGCGACAGAAATTTAATAGGCTCAAATGAGTTGAGTGCGATGAAATGCCCACCAGCAGAAAGATACACGCTTCTTCACTACAGATACACTACGGACAAACAGCGAATTCGAGCTGCGATCCGGTGACTGCCGTTTTCGGTTGCATTACGATGATCGGCTTTAGGTTGGTCTAACTTTATCCGGTTGGACTCGTTCGACTCTGGACGGTTCAAACGCTGCTTCACCTTCTTCAACACTGTAAGCACAGACAACCTCGATGACGATGCCGACAACGAAGCCGGTGACTACACTAAGTCAACGCACAGCACAGCAAGCGTTCGTACGGCAGCGCGCTTTTGTTGACACATACCTGTTCTTGTGACTAATAGCCGTGCAGCCAGCCACCATACTGAAAACCGACACCGGACAAAACCACCAAACGCCGCCGGCTTGAACTAAACAACCATACGATGCCACCCCCATAGCTACATCCACAAAACCACCGTTTCATAATACAGGAGATACGAAGCCGTGACTAGTAGATACCACATACGGACGAGGGCCACACTGGGATATCAACCGGTGCGTTAAGAGTTTAGTGACATGAAAATGCTTCACAAGATTTCTGACAGTTGCGCAGGCAGTTGATGCAGGGAATCAGGAAAAATTAATGACCAATATCCATAACTGTTTGTCACCATTTCTAACAGTCAGATATAAAACTGGGTACTATAGGAATGCTGTCAATTCTAAAAGACAACTACTTAAGTGGTTTAATGTTACCTGTAGACTTCACAAGGGAGATGTGCTTGCCTTTGCTATTCAACATAGCTCTCGACTTTCTTCTCCAAAACAGTGCTAACTCTAGTAGAACAAATGCAGTTCAAGATATTCAGCTGATCTGATGAGTAATGCGGGAAAGAATGCAATAGAGCTGCGAAAACCGGCCTCTTCATGAAAACCCAGAAGTCAAAACTTATGAGGAACCCATCCGGCACAGTTTATTTACAAGTAGGACAGGGAGTTAAAGGCCTTCATGTGCTTAACCAGTTTAGGCACATCGACTTCATCGTCTCCAGCGATGGCACTACTCAGCCAGAGTTCAACTGGAGAATTGTTCTAGCTTGAAGTGTTTGCTGAGTGAGAAAGAAATTAGTCTTCCCCTGAAATTCTGCATGTACCTAGCCTTTCTCATGTTCATGCTGTCGCACGGCATGAGACAGTCGTTTCGAAGAACCAGCAAGAACGATAGTTGAACTACATAAAACAGCGTTAAAAGCGTAAAGGCATCGTCGTATAATGAGAGTTAAAGGTAAAGAGTAGATTGCGTAAGGAATGACTCCATTTTCATCAGGCCACAGGTAACCTCGATTGATGTAGAAATGAAGAAACAGAGGTTTCACCTGTTTTACAGTCGAAACACAACAGAGTCTTCCAAGAAGCCACCATGCAAAATGGAGGAAAAGAAGCAGAGGTAGATCTGCTTTTGGAGTTGAATATTTTCCTTTTACGCTGCAGTTAACCAGTGCTGTATAACAAAAGTGTGGCAGACCTGCAGATATCACATACCGAACACGTTCTGCTTATATAAACGGCTCACGAAAAAGATCCCAAATCACAGTACAGCCGTTTATGCGTTGATTAGCCCTGGATAACGTCATAAAAAAAAGATGAAACAGCAAAACAGAAATTTTGTCCTGCAAATTTTACCCTGCCGCTTCTGGATACACTTAATCGAAACAAGACTCCATACGTCTAACACACTTTAGAGTCATGGTAAATTTCACTGCCAAATCGGTGCTGCTCAGTCAGGAGAGTGTCAGAACCAAAACCGAAAGGTTCCGGGTTCCGAGACCCAGACAGGGTCATTCCCTTTGCTTCCTTTCAAATGCAATAAATCAGTACCGCTCTGTGGGAAAGAGACTGCACGCAATGCCTGCAACATGGCTGTATGCTCTGCCTTTAAAGTATAGCACTCCTGGCTGGTAGCATAAAAATGCAGATCAGCGCCCCAACGAGAATTTCATGAGAGCAAAGGTCCCATCGTGAAAGCGTATGGAAGATCCACATTCCAACATTTAAAAACTTCTTTCCCTTTTATTCAGTGACACATCCATGCACATTTATACATTGCCTGTCCTAAATGTGGTATTATGTAATCGAGCTTTACTTCGTCTACATCAATTTATTGACTACCACATATGAATAATATCTCACTTGCATTCCTGTGTCTCGTCATGCAGCATACAACAGGAAAACATATAATTAAAAAAACTTAGAATCATTTCATTCAGCTTTGGATCCAACAAAAAAAGCTATCGGTGCAGAAACCACTGACCCACCGTATTCCTTTGTACCTATTGATTCAACCTTTCGCATCAACAAGAGGTTAAGCAGCTAACAATAATCTGACATCGATTTCGTATAATATGCACGGGATAGTAGCCGAACCCGGTGTAACCCAAGAGGTTGAGTCGACAGGAACGGAAAGACAAAAATTAAAAGTCAAATATTATTGGTATGTGTCTCAGACGGTACAAAGCAAGCATCCATCACTATTCATTCCTTTGCAATTGCATAACTAAATAGAACACAATTTATAAAGTTACTAAGTGTGAAAAAAGATGCTCTATTTAGCGCTGCATCTTGCCAAAAACCTTTACTCATGTGGCTTGCGGATACAGCGTTGAACCAGGAGAGGCACTCAGAAAAGGTTAGTGGCCTTTTAACTTATTTGTCCTTTTGTGGAACGAAAGCCACCACAGCGATTAGAATTAGTACAACAGTACTAAGGTACTATTGAACTCATTCTCCTTCCGTCTGTATGTTTGCTAAGGATACTGACAGAATTAGCTGATGTTCGAAACGATCTTCTTAAACCCAGTCAAAGTGATGTGGCAGTGCATCCAACGCATCGCCA